GGGGCCTCTCAGTTTCTATTACCTTGTAAGTCAATTCCTGTAACATATCACACACATAAACACACACACTCTCTCTCTATTAATTCTGTTTCTTTGTCCAACTGTAACTAATACAAGGATCTTCCTGTTTCCACATGACGTTTGTTGCTGTTTTGCAGCAGGAATTCCATGAGGGACACAATAGATGTGGAGCAGGTTTGCAAGGCAAGACTCTGCAGAAGTTCTTATGCCATTTTGAAGGCACCCAGCCCATTAAAAGCTGAGCATGGTATGAGGAATAAGGTCCAGAAGTTGGGATTGGAATGGAGGACAAAGGTTTATGAGGAGCAGAGAAGGGGACATTGTGACCATACATCAAGAGACATTTGCGTCAGCAAGATATCTGCTAGTATCACAGGCAGAGTTATCCCTGGGCTCCCATGGAGATAGTCTGATCAACAGTGGCCTAGGCATCCCCAGCTTGCCTCGTGATATAGACAATACTCCATAGGTAGTCAAGGAATGTTCTGCTGGGATTTGCAGACAGCAAATAGGTCACAGTTGCCCATGAGTGGTCAGCTGGTAGCCAGCTCATAGGAACCCACCTCTCCCCTTGCATATATATTTTGTGGATGTTCAGCTTACTCCAAAGCCTTACTTTTATCCTCTTCATATAGAAATATGAGAATCTGTGTGTACTACACACTACTAGACTTTTTTGTGCACACAAAAAAGACTGAGAGAACTTGGAACTTTCTTCAGGATGGTATTAGCATGGTTTTTACTTGCTTCTCTATACTCTTGTCACTACTTCTAGTATTTGTTTATTTATAGCTTTCCATGCATCCTCTTATTTAATTTTTTTAACTTTTTAAAAGATCTTGTTTATGCATACAGAAATGGGGTACAGGCCTGAGGTGCAAGGGTGGTGAGAGGATTCACCAGAAACAGAGTGAGGAGCAGAACAGGCAGCTCGGCCAAGTATGTTGTGATGGGAGTAGCGGAGGAGACAGGAGAGGTCTGCTGCACCATACGGATCACCTCTGGGGGTGGAGGGTGGGGGTCAAACTCACTCTGAAGTGGCCACAACTTGGCTTAGCTTCACAGTGCAGTGTTCCAACCCACTGAGCCACCAGGGAGGGCTCTTACTTTTTATTTCTAATGGTAGTAATGGTTTACAACACAGTATAGTTCTAAGGGAAAATATTCACATCACTTCAGATGTATGTTACCCTAAATTTTACTAAGAACCTGTACTAGTTTTATACCCAGAAAACATTGTTTGTGTATTAAAATGATTACTGATAAGCTTGGCCAACAGAAGAAAGGCGTCAGGAAGGCACCCATCCTAAGAGAGGTCAGCTGGGAGTCACTTCAGAGACATACCTTGACTGTCACGAAGAAGAGATGATTTTAGCAGCCACTGTCACATTTGACATTGCTCTTCTCATGGTAGTGGAGAAGACAATGTATAATAATCCTCTGTCTTTTGCTTCAGGGGTCTGAAGCTCCAAGAAATCCTCCTCAGACATACTATTAATGATACTTTCATTGATTTTCCCAAAGTATTTTCTTGCCTAAAAGTTTAGGACAGGATTTGGGGTCTCAGACTTGGACTTCTTCACTTATGCGTAAGGGAACTAGATAACTTGCCTCAATTTCCTTATCTATAATATGGGCACCATAAACACATCCAATTTGCAGCATTACTGTGATGAATATTTAATCTGGGTAAAGAGTATCTGCAAGGGCCTCCCTGGGGGTGTACGGGTTGAATCTCAGTGCTATCACTACTGTGGCGTTCTCTCCCCAGCCAGGGAACTAAACCACACATGGCCACTCCTGTCTCACACCTGCTGCTCCCCTCAGCAGTGTATTTCAATAGATTTGCCTGATCTGCTCTGTCTCTGGTGAATCTTCTCACCCCCTGCACAACTGGCCTACACCCCAGTTCTTGTATGTATAAGTAAATAAAACTAAATATGTATTTTTAAAAAGAGTATCTGTAAATAGTAAGTACTTAATGATTAATTCTATCCATTTTATTTATTTACTTATTTTAAAAGATATATTTTATTTATGCATATAAGAACTGTAGTGTAGGCCAGAGATGTGGGGGGTGATTAGGGTAAGAGGATTCACCAGAGACAGAGTGGGGAGCAAAAGAGGCAGATTGACTGAAATACACTGCTGAGAGGAGCAGCAGGCCAGAAAGGAGAGGTTTGCTGTGCCATGTGGGTTAGTTCCCTGGCCAGGGATTGAACTTGTGCAGCCATGGCTGCAGCTAGCTTCATAGTGCTGAGACTTAAACCCTTGTGCACCAGGGCGGCCTTAATTCTATCCTTTTTAGTATAGAATTGTAAATGAAAGAATGAATTTGGATAGGCATTTAAGATAATTAGATATTTAAGAAGTTTCAGAATAACAGAGTATGATTCCTTTTTAAATTTTTTTCAAGATTTATTTATTTATGCATGCAAGAACTGGAATACAGGCCAGAGGTACAGGGGTAAAAGAATTCGCCAGAGACAGAGTGGGGAGCAGAATAGGCAGATCCACTGAAATACACTGCTGAGGGGAGCAGTGGGTGAGACAGAAGAGGTCTGCCATGTCATGTGGGTCAGCTCCCTGGGTGGGGATTGAACTTGTGCTGCAGTGGCTGCAGAAAGCCTCACAGTGCTGTGCTTTAAACTGCTGTGCCACCAGGGAGGGCCCAACTACTTTTTAAAAATAAATATCTTCATATTTATTTTTGTACATAACATCATCTGGAGAGGTATTTTTTCAAATGAGGAGTAAGGTAGATATTTGTAGAAATAGACAGGAGAGTGCCTTATATCTAGTTGAAGAAAGTAGGGCAAAAGGAGTTTATTTTTTTTTAGGTCATCACAGGGGCAATGGAGATGGAGGGAGAGGAAGAGAAGCTAGACACATTCACAAGTCCATAGGACTTGGTAATCGATGATGATATTTAGTTTGTGGTTAGAAAGAGAAAAGCAGCTTCTAATGACTGAAACTAACCTGCAGGTTGGGCTTAGTATCTCCAAAGTAAATGACTTCACAGACCAAAAAGAATGGAGATGTGATTTTAATGATCAAAATTAAAAACAAGACTCCATCATCATAATATCTGAATACAGACATGAGAGGTGAACGCTTTTCAAACCACACAGCCACATACACACAAGACCAAATATCCCCTTATCCTAGCTAATGTGATGGATAGCTCTCCTTTCCTCTCAGTGTCTAGAAAAGGTTGAATTACCCCTGTTTCCTGACAGTATTAATTCCAGAGTAAAGCCCTGCTTTGTGGGTGTAGCATACAAGGCTCCTTTCAAGTTAAGACAAGAAAATGACACTTGATTGCCCTGGAACAGTAGGTGTGCAAGCCACATTATGACGGGGGACACCGGGGGGCATTTGACTGATGTGCTTTGTGCCCCAGGGGCTGATCAGTAGAATGTCTTGTTAATAAGATTTGAGTCATGGATGGGAGTGAGTGTAAACATTGGATTCACCCTTCCTAAAGCCCAAAAATACAGTGCTCACTCTAACTCACCCTTCTCTGTCAAAAAAAAGACCAGGGTGTTGCTCTTGAGCAGCATCCTGCATCAAGCATCCTGCATCCTACAGCCGGCTCCACCAACCCTGTTTCTTTTATCATTGTGGTGCTGTACACTCAATGCTGCTTCCTTGAACATTCCCTCAAATCACTTAAGACAACCCCAAATCCTTTTTAACACTTCCTACTGAGATCTCCCTTACTACCAAAATTCATCTTTTTTCAATTATTGATATTCTTAGTGGTCTTTTGGGGGAAAAGAGCAGGGTGAGGATGGAGGTGCAGGGGTGAGAGAACCCACCAAAGAGGAGTGGAGAACAGAACACACGGATTGATTGTAATACACTGAGAAGGGAAGCAGCAGGGGAGACAGAAGAAGTCTGCCCATGAAGGAAAAATTTAAGGTCTCCTTCATACTTTGTGTTTGCAGGCTTTCTATGGGGCACCAGTTTGCACCATTTATCTGTTCGGCTATCTGGTCTCTGGTACTGGCCTTTGTTTTTGCTTCTGCATTTGTGGAGATGGGCTGGTTCTTCTGGTAGTGGTGGTTGGTTTTATAGCTTTGTCCCTAAGGCAGTTTATCTATCCCCTTACTTACTCCAGCCTCCCAAATCTGCCTGCAAGGTCAAAGAGTGGGGGCTTAGATTTTAAACCTTATTCAATAATACCCTGACAAAAGCCACTGATATCAGCATAAGCAACCCAGACTGGATCATGGTGCCTTTCTCAGGCATGATTAATGGTCATTAATCTGTGCCTAGCCCCACGTAATGGCTGGAAGATCCGCTAGTCTCTTTCACAAGTCCCATGAGGTTGTTTTGTTTTTTAAGATTTATGTCTTATTTATGCATACAAGAACTGGGTGTAGGTCAGGTTGGGGGTGGCGGTTATTCACCAGACACAGAGTGCGCAGCAGAACAAGCAGATCTACTGAAATACACTGCCAGGGGAGCAGCGAGAGACAAGAGAGGTTTGTTGCACAGACATATAGGTTAGCAACCCCCTGGCCTGGGATCACTGTGGCTGCCAAGATTGCTAGTGCTGGGACTTAACCCCTTGAGCCACCAGGGAGGCCCCGTTTTGAGATTTTTAACGGAACCGTTATGCTGTTCTCTCTGAGCCATCACAGAAAGTATTAACTGACATTTAATGTGTGTACTATTACACAGGCAGTGCTTTTAGAGTTCTAATTTTAATTAATTTACTTCTTCCATCAGAACCATAAAGATAGGTACTATTATTATCGGGTTTTACTATTAAAAAAAACCGAAGTACAGAAGTAACCTAACTTTCGGAATGAGAGTCAGAGGTCCCCAAAAGAATTCTCACATGCTTGCAACACTGCCCCGGCGGCCATGTTGGTGGTAGTCTGCAAGGACTGCAACTCCCGGCATCCCCCGCGGCCGCAGATCTTCGCGCACAACAAATCCCGGCGTGCCCATGGGCAGCCCGGAGTGGAGGATTCTAGAAGGCGTGACGTGGGGTCGGGAGTGGGCTCGGAGGCGGGCGCTTCTCAGCAGTAGCTGTGGCCGCAGCTGTCGGGCCTGGGCCCGGGGGTGGTGGGGGCCGTGGGCGCAGCCTGTTCGTTTCCCCAGCCATGGCCGCGCTGGGCCGGCCTTTCAGCGGCCTTCCACTGAGTGGCGGCTCGGACTTCCTGCAGCCGCCGCCGGCCTTCGCCGGCCGGGCCTTCCCCACGGGGACGGACGGCGCGGAGCTGGCCCCGCGGCCGGGACCCCGCGTCGTCCCCAGCAATCCGGGCGGGGGCGCGTCGCGCGGACGGTGAGGAGCCCGGCGGACGCGAAGCGGGTGGGCGGGCGGGATGTGGCGCTCCAGGCGGGAGCGGGCGCGGGCTCCGCGCACGGTCTGGTCGACCCTCTCTCCTCACGATTCTTTGCTGTAGATTTCTCATCTCTTTTACAGATGAGGAAACTGATCCCCAGAGACGTTAACTGTAGGTCGCCTGAGGGCGCACAGCCCCGGAGAGTCCTGTTCGGACCTTGGCCGCCAGCGCCTCGGGGAAGTGGGGAGACTTTCCCAGCCTCACCCAGGTGGTGCCGGGCTTGGAACTCGGGCCGATTGCAGCCTGGATGTCCCCTCAGCGAATACACACTCCCCTTCCAGATGGTGACAACTTTCAGTGCTGCTCTGCCGCACAGTTTCCTCATCCACAGAATGGGGCAGAAATGGGTCCTCGTAGTGAGATCGTGGAAACAAGTGCTTAGCACTGTGTTGGCCCGAACACCTTTCCCTGCGTTAACTTTCTCTCCCCCCCCCCGCCCCCCACCCCTCGCACCCCGTTTCTGCCCCATTACCGTCACAAAATGCAAAGTTTCCATTTTAGTCTTTAGCCACCATGGGGAACATCCCCATTTTAACATAACTAGGTGATCTGTCTATCCATCCCACTTGCAAGGTACTGTGGGGTGGGCCAAATTATTGGCCAAAGAAAGTGGTAGTGAAAACACAACACATTTCTCAGTTGACTAATGTTTGTTTCTTTCAACAGTGCTTCGGTTCACTGTAAAAAGAAACACAAGCGGGAAGACGAGGAGGATGAAGAGTAAGTTTCAGGCGTCATTTATTCAGTTGGTGGTTGTTTGGATGGTTTTGAGTGTCTCTGCCCCAGGCACAAGGAACTTGTAACATTGGTTGGCTTTTAGAGACAGTTACTGGGTGACTGGCAGTTGCTCAGAGGGAAACTTCATTCTAACGGATTGTAATGTGTGAATTTTGAATCACGTGGATATTATTACATGCACAATGGAAAAGAATTCCAAGGGTGCAAAAGGATACATAGACTCTCCACACTCCCACCCCTCCCCAAAGGCAAACCCTGTTTCTGCTTTGAGAAATAAAACATACAAGCTCTAAGTATAGGGAGATACTGTTCACACTCCAGACATTGATCTTTTCACTTTTCTATAGTTTTCTGTCAGCAGGGTTCTACCTAATTTCTTTTTCCTTTCGTAGCCTAGGTTAACCAGTCTCTTGAAGAATTTCTATGTTATTTCTCATCTTTTGCTATTACTAACACATCTGCCACGACTTTTAAAATTTTTTGTTTATACTTGCAGTGAATTCCTAGATGGGAAATTGCTGGGTCAGTATACGCTTTTTTTTTTTTTTTTAAGATTTTATTGATTTATGCATAAATCTGGGAACAGGCCAGAAGTTCAGGGATGGTGAGAGTGGGAAGCAGAACAGGCAGATTGACGAGTACACTGCTGAGGGGAACAGCAGGTGATACAGAAGAGGTCTGCTGTTCCATGTGGATCATATCTGGGGCTGGGGATCCAACTCGCACTGAAGTGGCTGCGCCTTACTGTGCTGCACTGCGCTTTAAACCCACTGCACCACCAGGGAGGGCTTTACAGTATATACATTTTAAACTTTGACAAGAATTGTCAAGTTACAGTCCTTTTCACAGCAGAAATGCCTGTTTCTCCACCTCAGCAGAACTGTATTTTTCAAACTTTTTTATTGCCACCTGACAGGAAAAAGATTACATCTCATAGACAGGTATTCTAATAAAAACAGGAGAAAAACGGCCCATCCTGGTGGAGCAAGAGTTAGGACGGAGCAGTTAAAGCTAGCGGCAACCTCTTCAGTGTTAATTCCATCCCGCCCCCCAGAGGTGACCCACATGGTGCAGCAGACCTCTCTTGTCTCGCCCACTGCTCCCCTCAGCAGTGTACTTCGTGGATCTGCCTATTCTGCGCCCCCACTCTCTCTGGTGAGTCCTCTCACCGCCCGCTATCTCTGGCCTGTACCCCAGTTCTGGATAAACAAACAAAAATAATTCCCCAAAGAAGATATTAAAAGGACCAACCAAATGAAATGATTTTCACTTCATCATTCTTAAGGGAAATGCATATAAAAGCTTTAATGAGGTGCTACTTCACCATGCTACTCCAGTGAATACTGGATGTGTTATGGAGCACTAGAAATTCTCATATGGGTGAGAATGTAAACTGGTACATGTACTTTGGGGGACAGTTTGGTATTATGAAATTGAAAGCTTCTTTATACACCATTTTACCCAGTAGTTACCTCCCTGAGTATGTATACAGGATACCTGTCCATCAGGACACCAGGATAAGAAAATTTATAGCAATTTTGTTCATAATATTTCAAAACTGGAAATAACTCAAATGTTATTTCCCCAACAATAAAATGAAGTTACAAATGCATAGAGTGGAGTTCTGATCAACAAAAAATAAAAGGACTAAGCAATATGGACATATGTGCTTATAAGCATATGCAAACAAAAGAAATATCACAAGGATATTATACAGTTAAATTCTTTAAATACAAAGTTAAATTCTAGGCAAAACTAAGCAGTTTAGTCTGCCTGCCACAGATCTGTTAGTGGACTTCTTTTTTTGGAGATTTATTTATGCATACAAGAACTGTGGCCTAAGCTAGAGCAATATGTGTGTAAAAGGGTTCATCACAGAGTAGGGAACAGAATAAGCAGCTCTGCTGAAATACACTGCTGAGGGGAGCAGAGGCCAACACAATAGCTATGCCATGTGGGTCAGCTTTCTGGGAGGGGATTGAACCCAGGCTGCAGGTAGTTTGAGCACTGAGACTTAACCACTTCACCACCAGGGAGGCCCCTAGTGTACTTTTTTTTTAAAGAAAGTAATCATAAAGTGTTTATAAGTTAAATATTCTGAAATGCTGACAGAATTGTATATCTTGGGTGATGTTTTAATGGATGTTTGTTTTGTAATTATCCATCAGATTGTGTTTACCTTTTTTTAAAGACTTACATTTTTATGTACACAAGAACTGGGGTGTAGGCCAGAGTTGCAAGGGGATGAGAGGATTCCCTAAAGATGGGTACAGAATAGGTGGACTGACTGAAATACACTGTTGAGGGGAAAAGAAGGCGAGACAGGAGAGGTCTGTTGGCGCCATGTGGGTCAAGTCAGCTCCCTGGCTGGAGACTGAATTGGTATGTAATGGCTGGTGATAAATTCATGGTGCTAAGACTTAACTCCTTGTGCCACCAGGGAGGCCACTAGATTGTGTATATTTTCAAAGATTTATACATACAAGAACTGGAGTATAGACCAGAGGTGCCAAGGTGAGAGGATTAATCAGAGGCAGAGTAAGGAATAGAACAGGCAGCTCTACTGAAATACACTGCTGAAGGGAGCAGCAGGCAGGACAGGAGCTGCCATGTGGGTCAGCTCCTTGGCCTGGGATCAAACTCGTGCTGTAGTGTTTGTGGATACCTTCATAGTGCTATGCTTTCACCACCAGAGAGGGCCAGTTGTGTTTATGAGTGTAGTAATTCATTGTTAAAAAGAAGTTAGATCACATTTATTTATATTTTGTAAATCATAAGTGATGTTGAACATCATTTAAGCCATTAGTGTTTAATTTTTTGTGAAGTGTTTCTCCAGATTATTGGTTCATTTTTTTGCCACTGTTGATCAGTCAGAAATCTTATTAAAGAAATCAGTTCATTATGTGTATTACAAATATTTTCCCCAAATTGGTCTTTTTTCCGACTTTGGGTGTGATTTTTTTTTTTTCTCCCATCAGAAACTGTGGATTCTCTCTAACCTTAACATGTTCATAAAAAAGTTAAACATGAAGTTGCCTTCATTTAAAAAACATTAAACCTGGCAATATTGATGTTTTTTATTACATTGGAATTGCCGGGGGATACACAGGAACCTTTTTGCTCTTACTAGGGATTCCCTATAAGGATTATTGTTCCCAATGTTAAAAATGTGAAAGGTAAAAATGGTTGACTTAAAAGTTAACCACCTTTATTTCACTCATAGCAGGAGTATAATGGACCAGGCGAGAAGATAACAAAAATAATGAACAACCATATACCAGAGACATTCTGTGGGGGCGGAGTGGGGAATGGGATCAAAAACGGGGGGGGGGGGGGGGGGGGGGGAAATGCACGGGACTATGGTGGTGGCACAGGGGTGATTTGGTGATGGGAAACCCGCGGGGATTACAATCGAGATGGAAAAAAAAAATGTGCAAAATGATGTAAAAATAAACTTTGTAATAAAAAAAAAAGTTAAACCACCTTTAATATACAGATGGAGAGATTGATGAATCCCCCAGGAGAATGAGGGACTCAACATTTAGTTGTCTAGTGCTAAAAGCATGCAGCCCAGCTGCTACTTCTATAGCTTTTAAAGTCTTATATAATTTAAAAAAAAATTTTGTTTATACATACAAGAGTTGCAGGTCAGAGCTACAATGGGGTTATACCAGAGGATTCACCAGAGACAGAGGGTGGGAAAGAACAGGCAGATGTATTGAAACATTGCTAAAGGGAGCAAGACAAGACAAGGCAAGATGGGCAAACAAGAGAGGTCAGCTGCTCCATGTGGGTCACCTCTCTGGCTGGGGATCAGATTCTGCTGCAGTGGCATATAGCTTTGTAGTGCTGAGACAACCCCTTGCACCACCAAGGAGGCCTCTAAATTAGCTTTTTGTTGCTATTTATTTGGGAGTTGGACCTATAGGCATGAAATAGTTTATCCTAAGTAATGTTACAGGTCACAGAACCCAACTCTTACACTCAGGTGCTTTCATATTTGAACTGTTAGATGTGCTAGCAAATGTATCCCTTCCCTCTAGATATGTTCTGCTTTTTCTCATTTGGGTGTTTTGAATGTGTGTATGTAACTTTTCTGCTTTCCAAAACATCACATACTTTGAAATATACAGATATTACAGAATATTTGATGTTTAGACAGACATTCTTACAACTTTCTTATGAGGGCTCTCCCTGATAGTGCAGCGAGTTAAAGCACTGCATTATGAAGCTCTCTGAAGCCACTGCAGCATGTGTTCGATTCCCGGCCAGGAAGCTGACCCACATGGCGCGGCAGACCTCTCCTGACCCACCCACAGCTCCCCTCAGAAGTGTATTTCAAGGTCTGCCTGTTCTGTTCCCTACCCTGTCTCTGGTGAATCCTCTCACCCACCACACCTCTGGCCTATACCCCAAGTTCTGTAAGCATAAATAAATAAATCTTTAAAAAAAAAAAAAACTCCTTATGAATTGATACTAATTATAAAGCAAATATTATATAGTAGTTGATTTCAATTAAAAATCTAGTTTTAGGCGCCTCCTTGGTGGTGCAAGGGGTTGAGTCTCAACACCGAAGCTATCTGCAGCCACTGCAACTCAAGTTCAGTCCCCTGCCAGGGAGCTAACCACATGGCATAGCTAACCTTTCCTGTGTCGCCCATTGTTTCCTCAGTAGTATATTTCAGTAGCAGAGTAGCTCTACTCACCATTCTGTCGCTAGTGAATCTTATCAAAACCTACCCTGCCCGCCCCAACACCTCTGGCCTACACCCCGGCTCTTAGATGCATACGTAAATAAAATCTAGGTTCAAGAAAGCATTATTGTCATTTTATATTGACAGAGACTTCAGTGTTAATTGTCATAGTCTTACATGTAATGGAAATTTCTCTTTGTAAATTATATGCTACATCCTTTCACACTCAGTTTATCGTAAGCATTAATTTTTTGTGTTGGAAAACTTCTGGTCTTAAGATTACACTTGCTGATACCCAAGAAACAAAGTATTTTTGGTCTAAATGCACACATAGAAGAGGGTCAGTTGTCTGTTTAACTTGCTTTAGACAGCTTTCAAATAAACACTAGCAGTTTGCAGTACTTGAAAATACTAGTACAAGGTATTGTAAGAACTTGAACAGCAGAACTACCCTAAGTGGCTAAGAGATTTTAGTGGAAATGACATAGAATTAGGATTCAGGAACTCTGGAGTCTAGTTCCAAAATGCAATTCACTATCTTTGGAGGAGGTACTTTAGCTTTTCTAGACCCTAGTTTCCAGATTTGGAAAGCAAATTAAATTTGGTGAACTTTTAAGGTCCTTTTGAGTATAAGTTTTTCAAAAAGTGAAGATAGTTTAATACATTGCAAGGGGCGGGGGGGAGGGGGAAGCGAACCCCATTCTTAATCAGGTATTCATTGAAACTGACTGTAGATATTTTAGAGAGGACCAAGAAATCAATATTATCTGTACTTGTAGTTCTTAGAACAAACTGGTGATACGTTTTAAGAAAATATAGCATGACTGCTAGATACCCTGTAATGACCAGTTTGTTGGAGCATCAGCAATTTGACAACATGTGGCTGGTGCTGAATTACTGCTTTGTGATTTTGGTTTCTTTAATTCCCACTTGACCTTTGCAGAGTCAAGTAAGTAGGAATGACTAGTTCTTAACACTTCTGATCTGAACAGGCAAAATTGAAGAATTTCATTATAGAAAGGGATGGTACACTTCACATTGGTAAGGATTTTCATTGAATTTGTTTTGTTTTGTTTCAGTTGTCCAGTAAGAAAGAAAAGACTAACTGAAGCAGGGCTCTGTGCTAGTCCTAATGACTGGGTTCTTTGTGCACATCAGGATATAGAGGGTCATGGAGTAAATTCATGCACTGGTGGCCCTTCTGCACCTGGCATGTTAGATGTTATTTGTGAAGAAATGGATCAGACAACAGGAGAACCACAGTGTGAAGTTGCCCGAAGGAAGCTTCAGGAAATTGAAGATAGGTAAGTGGGTGACTTTTCGCTGTGCTTACGTGACTGTCAGTATTCTTTTAAGCTAGTCTATTCATTAATTGGCGAAACCTTGATCGTTAGCCTCTTAGACTATAAAAAGTAGGGAACTTGAAGTATACACATTGTCAAAGTAAGCTGTTATAGAACTATAATAAGTATTTCCATTTATTATTTCTGAATACTAGTTTTTGGTTTATGGAGTTTTCAGGATACAGTCTTCAAATTTGCTTACATTGAATGTTAAACTTCTGTTAACTGAAATGTATAATACTTTTTCCACTAAGGTATGGTCTCTTTTTACTTAATCTTTTGCTGTAGCATTTACCATTTTTATCTTTATTTTAAAATTTTTATTCATTTTATTCAACTAGAATATATAAGTTTTACCAAATAACATTTCTTTCTCTGTTCTGCCTTTATTAGAATTATTGACGAAGATGAAGAAGTTGAAGCTGACAGGAATGTTAACCACCTCCCCAGCCTTGTCCTATCTGATACAATGAAAACAGGTTTGAAGAGGGAATTTGATGAAGTTTTTACAAAGAAAATGATTGAGTCCATGTAAGTTTGGTTCTTGCTTAGTATTTAGCTTAGGTTGGAAATGTTTTCTAAGTACTTCGGGAGTGAGCAAAATGCCCTGTAAGCAGGAGTTTGCAGTATTCAGGAGTCACTCCCTTGCAGTCTTTTGAGGTTCTAAAATGCACTGTAGTCTAATATTTGGGAATGGGAGGATTGCCAAGAGAGAGACAATTTATTCTTTTCAGTTCTTATCATTGAGTATAGAAACAACTTTTAAAACTTGTTTATTTGGCTCTTTCAGTTATCCAAGAACATTGTTGAGACCTAGGTAACTTTCCAACAAAGCTGTCACAGAGGTCACAAACCAAAACTCATATTCTTGTCTCTCAGTGTATAGTTCTTCACACCTTCAGGTCTAAGAACCAAGTTTGCTGTTAATTTAGACACGGGGAAGTGGACTTAATTTTCTGGTTTCCTAAATCATAAGAGTAGAAAAACAGAAACAATGATTGCTCTGTACTTCTCATCCTGGAACCTAGATGATCTCATTGCCATTATCTTAGTAAAATAGTATGCAAGTTATAAAGTACCTTTTAGGTCTTGTCTATCAAAGACTTTAGATAGATGTGGCACTCACTGACAAAAAGTTTTTAGATATCTGAAACATTCGCTTAGAACACTAGTCCCAGTGATTCCAGGTAGATGAAGCATTATTGCCTTTGAATGTGGTGGATTCAGCTCCTGCTTGATGTTGTATCATAGGGATTCTGCACTATACCTTCCTCGGTCCTTCCTTCCTCACCACCTTGACCTTTATAATTAACTGCCAAGCCCTGAGGATGGGAAAATCATTTGGACAAGAATAAGCAGGTCATATTGCCCTCCAGTCTAAAATACAGCACGATAAACTTTTGGTGGTTTTCCAGAATCTAGCCTTTAGGAGTGGGTGTTCATCATTTGTGTTTTATTTTGCATTACTTGCCTTTGAGTTCCAGAAACCAGCTAATTAACATTGGATTGGGGAGGACAAAGCATTGATGACATCTATTGTCAGTTTGATAGGCACAAACATTGATGTTTTGATTTACTCCAAAATGGGTTGTTACAGCTCTACTAAGTAAAAGACAAACAGATATTTTTAATGTGTGTGTACAGTATTTGATTTTCATTTATAAAGGCCTAATACAAGATAGAGTGCACACATCTGCCAATATTAACCACAGTTTAAAAAATTAAAATGTTAAATCCAGTCTCTTTCATGTTGAATGTTTATATTCAACAACCAGTTGACTTGATTGAAAATGCATGTAAAATGTTAATTTTTATGTGTTGTAAAAATTGGCTTGGCTTATAATGAATCTCCTGTTCTGATGCCACCAGTTCAAAACTCTAGATATTAGGTAACAAGCATTAACTTTTCAACATACACCTTTTATTTTCATGCCCTAAAATTTTGATAAAGATCTATTTCATGTCTTAGGAGCCGTCCTTCCATGGAACTTGTGCTCTGGAAACCTCTCCCTGAACTCCTTTCTGATAAGCCAAAGCCAGCAACTAATACTAAGAACTACACAGGAGAGAGCCAAAGTAAACGTGCAGCTGCTGGCACTGCCTTCCCTCTGAGAACTGAACTGTTCCTGGAACACCGGCAAACAGTGCTGCCTATTTACAATAGTTTGGAGACATCTGCTTGCACAGAAGAAGAGATGGAACTATAGAAATCAGTTTCTGCACTAAAATTGTCAAACTGTCAAAGACTCATGTACAGTCATGAGTCTACTTGTATAGTATATGGTCTTGAAAGTTTGATGAAACGGGTGTAGTAATATATCCACCTGTGATTTGGGGTGGGACTCTTATTTTGGGTAGTCATTTATTGAACACTTTGCCAACAGAGCTTGTCTGAAGGAAAAGCAGTTTTCTAGGGGACATATTAAAAAGGAATGTGAAGTTACAGTTTGCAAAGGCAAGTATAGAAGCTATGTGTGTAAGGGTGACTTAGGTGATCTCTCACATTTTTTAAACTCTTCAGATACCTAGATAATATTGGGACACAAGTTGAACAAAATGCATTAAGAAGGAAGAATGCTCCTACTACACTACCCTGACAGTTGAGTAACAACTTTGTCTGTAGATGTCAGTTACCGTGGTAACTATATTGCGATAAAGGAGAAAAGAAGAGTAACTTAAGCCTATTGCTAAGAAATTTATCAGGCTATGAAACTTGTATGTTGCTGCCAATTCATTGTAGCTAGAAAGTAGCTGGTAGCATTATGGTTCACTTCTCTGCCTCTGAAAATGCAGTGAAAATACCAAGAAGAGGTGTTTCCTTTGAGGCTTTTTTGCCTTGTGCTACTGTTGCTCCTTGGTTTCCCTTGCATAATTGATTAAATTCAGTTATTCAGTAATGTTTACAGCTTAATTAACTTTGGTAGTTTAAAAGATTATAAGGTAATACATGTGTAAATTGGCTGTGTGAGAAATATCCCATTCCTTAGTAATCCTGAGGAAGGGCTATGTCAGCTAAACCAAGCATTGACAACTTTAGTTTAAAAAGAAGCGGGGGTACACCTGGGCAGTACATTGAGTTTTTAATGTTAATTCAGAAAGCAGTTACTATTTAATTAACTGAGAACATATGGTCAAGTGACATTTACTGAAATAACCAATTTGCCAGGTGCTTCAACTATTGTGCAGTAAGCCTAAAAATTACTAGAAAATAGATTCCTGCTAGCAGGAAATCTTTATTTTGAGTACTTAAGCTAGTCTCAAGGTATCCTCTGGGGATAAACAGGATTGAAATTTTTTTATTTCTCAGGAAGCTCTTCAGTGTGGCAAGGACTTGTAGTATAAAGTAAATTGACAACTCTTTTAGTGCTACAGAAGATTCACAATTACATGCCTGACCCTTTCACCATACAGCAGGAGGCCACTCCAGTTCTTTTCGTTTTGTTTCCTGAGTTTCCTCCTTCTTTGTGGGAATCAGATATCTTGTGTAGAAAAAAATAGTTCATGCCAAAATAGAGGTGACTTTGGAAACCAGTTCCCAAGCAATTTTGAGACCAGGTTGAAATCCCTTCCCTGTTACAGATGGCATAGAAAACACAAGTCTGTTAATTGGACTATTCCTTTTCTTGCCAATTGTTCTTGCTTTCTCTATTTCTGTCTGCATAGTCAGGAAAAGATTTAATGTTTAATATTTAAACAAAATATTTAATGTCTACAAGGTAAAATTATTCAAACTTTAAACCAGTATTGAAACCAGTTGGAAACCAGCTAATAGTTTCTTAATCTAAGATTTAGAGATGAATGTAAACTGTATTCTGTTGAAATGTGCAAGTGTTTGATTCATGCCGTTTGTCCTGCCTTTAAAGTCACTGTTTAGTGGGACCAACTTAAAAAGTTTGTAGCCTTAAAAAAATCACCATGCTAAAATATTTATTCCTAATATAAGTCAAAAACATAAGTGACTGCCCTGAGTTGGATAGTCTCAGTGTTAGGGTCCAAGGGGAGATGACAGCTTTCCGAAGAAAGACCCCATGCACACCTATTGTTTTCTGTTGAGAATTTGTTGGGCAATTCTCTCTCTGATCAGAGGGAAAAAGAGCCTGAAAACAAGGCTCTGATAATGTTGGTAAATATAGAAGAGAATTAAGATTCTGGTAAAAGGCAAACAATCTGTTTCAGGAGTCAAATTATCTGACAAAATTATTTCTGCAAGAAAACAGATGTTTAATGCTCTTAAACTTTATCTTCTTGCATATGTTTGTACAAAAATTATCTTCATCCTTGTGGTGCTTATTCATCTGAGCCATCTACAAAGTCCCCATGCCTTTGCTTTGTTTTTCTTTTGTAGTATAAGGCTTTTGCTTTTGCCTTAAGGTCTCCCTAGGAAATTAACAGAACTTTTAATTTTGTACAGTTTCTGCAGCATGGATCAAACATTGGCTTATGATGCTAATGTGTGAGGATAAAAAATTACCTAAAGCAGGTGAGCTTTAATGAACAAATGTATATTTTCTCTGAGTTTGAGTAGAGTGTGTATGTGTGTTTTATAAGTATGAAGACAGTCCAGTTTTAACAAATTAATTGGTCAAGTTACAAACTGTTACTCATTCTTAAAAAGGTACAAATGTAAAACTTAGAAATATAACTAGGATAGGGACTGGAACCATAAAAAGTATGTTTACCAGTGGTTCATTAATTATTTTGGATATGGAGTTCAGTTTTGTTTTTCATTAGTGACAAGAATGATGCAGTACTAGGAAAGTTCTGAAAGATGCTGTTAGTTTTACTTTAAAATGAGAATATGGTGTATCTGTATTTTATTTTCAATAAAACTTCTAAGTGTTTTGGATTTTCTGAAATATTTGTATTACTGTGCTTAAGTAAATGAAATCAAGTATCCTTTTCTATAAACTGTAGTTAAAGCAGCTCTCATATCAGTGACTTAAGTTTATTTTGAAGACCGTTGTGCCATTCGAAAGCTCATACAGCTCTTTTTACTCGGACAGTCAGTCCATTGCCATTGATCTGTCAGTCGACAACATTGATTAACTTTGGTGAGTAATCATCAATCTTCAGATGGCAGTATTAGCTTGAGTTTCCAAAAGTGTTATGGTATAGTGTTCACATAAGTTTGTGACCCTTTGAAGAGAGAAAAGGAAAATTTCATGATGATAAGATACATGGTCAATTCCTTTGAGTTGACAGGTCACTGGGTGGCAGTGTTGCCTGCATATTTACAACTTTTTTTTTTTTTTTAATAAATTTGGATCCCTAATATGTGAAAGATTGAGTTACATGTGGATTGCAATTACAGAAAACTTAGGATAGTCTGTTTTTCACCAAAATTGGAAATCACAGCTGAAAGTTACTTAATGACCAGGAAACTAAAGCCTAAGTAGATAGTGATAATTTAGTCCTATGTTCCAACTTACCAGGTCCAGTATTCTTCCTATCTGACCAGTGATTTTATGATCTTTTTGCAGTGATGTCTAGAATGTTACTTGATTCTCATTGAAATAATATGAAGTATGGTTATGAATGATGTGTAACATTAAGCTCCTTGAGGGAATATAGTTTTATGTATTAGTTTCATTCAAATAATCTACCAGTGGCATTTTAGAAATGAACTAAATGCAATTAGAATACAATGTTAGAATATTCCTTTAGCAAACCAAGGCTGTTGTCTTGCAAAAGTTGATCAGTGGGCAAACAAACCAGTCTTCCTGTCCCTTACTAAAAATTGTAGGATTTAACTCCTAGGAGTTGGAATTTAAGTGATGCATAAAATAATGCCTGCAGTAGGAAGGAATTACTTGCTGCCTATAGTTCTGCCTCTACTGTGCCTGCTCCAGCAGTATAGCTAGAAGCAATGCTAGGAGGTACACATAGATCAGTTTTACAAGGACCAGGGAAATAGTGTGCAGACATCTGCCATCTTACTCTTTTAGTCTAAAAGAATCCTCTTCGTTTAATGGAAAATTTTTTTTTTAAGATTTATTTATGCATACAGAACTGGGGTATAGGCCAGAGTTCTCTGCAGAGGTGGTGAGAGGATTCACCAGAGACAGAGCAGGGGCATAACAGGCAGATTGGCAAAGTACACTGCTGATGGGAGCAGTGGGCGAGACAAATCTGCTGTGCCTTGTGGGTCACCTCCCTTGCACCCATCTGTGCAGGAAGTGAAAATAACACACAGGTTATGTCTAGCCTGTATATTATTCCGGTTAATACAGCTGCCTCTTTCATATGTTGTCACTGAATGTAAATTACTTGAGCCACAATATTCAGGTGATTGTGCTGTTTTGTGTGGTCTGAAATGCATCTGTAGTTGCATGTGCCTACATATTCCCTAAATACTCAGCTTATTTCAGGTGTAGATATGGTGATCAGATTTTTAATCACGGGGACAACTAGAGGCTGTCCTTACATTTATGATAAGGAAAGTAAGGGCCTAAGCAAGTCTAAATGGCCTTGCACTGAATGGTCTTTGATTCTAGCAACCCAAGGACATTTGGGCTAGTTTGCCTGCAGTTATCCTTGTAGACCTCAGTCACACCACAAGTAATCCCTGTACTTAACTATAGCTTTTGCCCAGTTTTGCTGTTTGGAATTTTTTTGTTATCACCTTTTGTCTAGTCCTTCAGTTTGACCTTCCCAAAGATAATCTTAATTTTGACATAGAATGCTTTCATGAACTGGCATAGATGAATGAGGAAGCCCTTTAATATCTTGTAGTATCATGTCCACAAAAAGATGTATCCTGAAGGTAAAAGAGATGCTCTCAAGTATCTGTAGTTTCAGAATTAATGTTTAGAATTTTTCCTTTAACAGGTTTTTTTTTTTTTTATGTGAAACATTCTAGAGTGGGTATATGTAAATATAATTCTAAAGAGATAAAACTCTTCTAAACAATAGCTTAACTTTGGAGTGTTTAGGGTGCATCATCTGTTTGATTCTGGCAATCTTTTTTTTTTTCAGATGTTTATTTGATAAACCTAGAAATTAGGTGATTTTAGCTGATTTTTTAAAACTTATTTATGTATACAGAACTGGGGTACAGGCCAGAGGTGCAAGAGTGGTGAGAGGGTTCCCCAGACACAGACTGGGGAGCAGAACAGGCAGACTGACAAAGTACACATCTGAGGGGAACAGTGGACAAGACAGGAGAGGTCTGCTGCCCCAAGTGGGTCACTTCGGGGACAGGGATTGAACTGGCATTGAAGTAGCTGCAGCCAGCTTGCAGTGCTCTAACCCATTGTGCCACCAGAGAGGGCCCTCTATGGCAATCTTTAGAGATACTATTATGTACCTTTATAAAGGAGGAAAAAATATGTCCAGGATTACTTAGCCAACCTGTAGGTTGTCAGAATTAAACTAGTTAAATCCAGGGAGTTTTAAGTCTAGAAAATGCCCTTAATAAGAAAAATCTTGATTTTTAATGACATGTCCTTTTCTGATAAAAATGGTATAGAAAAAGTGGGTAAGGGTTCTATCACTTACTAAAATACCAGTCTTAGGACTATCAAGCTTTCTGCAGCCACTGCAACATTTGATCCCTGGCCAGGGAACTGACCCACATGGCACAGCAGATCTCTCTTCTCACCCACTATTCCCCTCAGTTGTTTATTTCAGTAGATCTGCCTGTTCTGCTTCCCACTCTGGTGAATCTTCTCACCACCACCACCTCCCAGACTTCTGCCCTACACCCCAGTCTTTGTATGCATAAATAAATTAAAATCCTTAAAAAAAATGGATTAGTATATAAATAAACTGTCACTAGTAACTACAGAGAGATTCTATCACCTTACAGGAATTGAAGACAATAAAGGGAAAAACCTTCAGTTAAAAAGTAGCATGTTGGGCCCTTCCTGGTGGTGCAGCGGGTTAAAGTGGAGCTATGGCAGTCACAGTGGCATGAGTTCAACCCCAGGCAAGGGAGGTGGATCCACATGGTGACAGACCTCTCCTGACCCACTGGCTGTGCCCCTCAGCAGTGTACTTGAATCTGCTTGTTCTGCTCCCTGCTGTCTCTGGTGAATCCTCTCATCCCCCACACCTCTGACCTGTATACCCCCGTTCTGTATCATAAATTTTTTTTTAATTCTTTTTTTAAGTAGCATGCTTACTTAAGTTGGGTGAATTTTTTTTTTTTTTTAATATTTATGCATCCAAAACTCAAGTACAAGCCAGAGATGTGGGGGTAAGAGGACTCACCAGAGACAGAACAGGCAGATGGAGTGAAATACACTGCTGATCTGCCACGCCATTTGGGTCACCTCCCTGGCCAGAGGTCAAACTCAGGCAGAAGCAGCTGCTGATAGCTTTGGAACACTGCACTTTTAACCTGTTGCGCGACCAGGGAGGGCCTGGTGAATCTATTATGACAAATATGAAACACCTAGATAACATCTTAAGACTAAAGGCCCAAGAAAGAGTCAAAGAACAAAGATACTGCATTGCACTTTTTAATTGCACAGGTAGTTTTAAATAAATGGAGAAAGCACCTTCCAAAAGCTACACTAGCAGGGAAAGATTCCATCAAGCATTTACATAGTAAATTTCTATAATTTGTACAAAAGATTCTTGATCTTTACTTGAACTGTACATGAGGGGAAAGTAGCCCCCTTAAATAGGTGTTCTCTGCTTGCAGAAGCAAACTAAAGAACGTAAAATTGGAGGCAAGCCTGGGACGACTTTGAGAAGGGGGTAGTGAAATGAAAAGGGTCATTCATAAATTCCATGTCAAAGACACTTGTCTAATGACCCTTACATACAAGTATTTCAGAGCAAACTACCGTTAAGGTACAACTTCAAAAGCTGTAAATCTGAACTATAATAATACATCTGAGTACCTTGGATTAGTGAATGTCAAAAGACAATACTTGGGGCGACCTATGAGGTTTGAACAGATGAACACTTTAGAGGAATTCTCTAGGACAATACACTCTACTTTGGTATTTGAATGAAGCAGACAGACTTCTCTGCTATCCTCCAGGCAGTGTGAGAGTCAGGGAAATAAGCTCACTGATTGGACTTACTGGATCACTTGTTAGATACTAATGAGCTGGGGGAAAAGTTCATTGGCAAAACTGTCCTCCCAAGAATGGTCTACAAGCAGAGAGGACATGTCGCTCAATGGGGAAGGTGAGCCCTCATATCTACAGTCATTATATTCATCCGGTAGGCAGGAAGATTGCTTCAGGGAGTGGCTGGATGAAAGTAGATCTGAGATACCCAGCTCTGGAATGAAGTCATTGTCTGCAAGTTCTTCCTTCACTGAGACAGTGAATTCAGGGTGATCTTTCTCTGTGGGGCTGAAAGGTGCTTCCTCAATTTTCACTACCACATTAGCTTGGCTCTCTGTCTCAGAGGGTATCTCTAAGACTAAGGGTTTGGTATATACATGGTCAAAACGAATGAGTTCATTAATGGCTTCCAGCTTGGCTGATGACGTCCCCAGTGATGGAGAAGGGGAGGCTGGTAAGGAACTAGGTCCTTCTGGGTAGACATCTGGAAGCTGCTCCAGGTTGGCAGATTCTGGGGAAGGACATCTGAAGAACATGATGGGGTCCAAGTTGAACAGAATGCCCAATAGGATATCAGACTGCAAAAGGCAAAAATTAAATTGAGTCCAAGTGTTAGCTTACAACTGATGTTCTACCTAGAACATTTAGTACTATGTGCCATAATACAGTAATACAAATTAATTATTATGCCATAGGAAAATCTCCAGGACCCACCAGACCCAAGTCTATTTATGATACCTGACACCGACTATGTCATGAATCACCTAGAAATAGA